GGGGGGGGAGGGAGACATGAAAAAGGGAAGTGGGAAAGCAAAAAACGCGACTACCAAAACTCGCTAAAATGTCTCCGAGAAGGAATTCGGTCGAATACATGTCGAAATTCCCACTCGCAAACTAACCGGGAATGTGTCCGCACTGTTCTCGGCACTCCTGTCCAGATCGATAAGAGGGGCATGAGAGGAAGTTGGTGACGTCTGCGAAGGTGCACATGCTGACCAATCACCACTGCCGCCATCACTGCGAACGCCATCCTTAGCTTTATTACTACTCCGTGACCTAGAGGAGGAGGAGGGAGTGGAGGAGAGGGGTTGACGAGAGGCAGAAGCAGCTGCAGATGATGAAACGGGGGCAGGTACTGAGGAGCTCATCGTGTAGTACTGGTAGGCCTCGTATCGAAGAGACGCCTCCAAATCTACAAACAACAACAACAAAAAAGGTCAAGTTCTTGCATTAACAGTAAACAGGGATGATAAAAAGGTGGGAAGGTGGCCATGGCCGAGAATTCGGGTAGAGAATGTGGCATCCAAACCCTCCAACTGCTGGCGTAGGTCTCGCCTCTTCCCAATTGACTCTAGTACGTAAAGGCAAAGTTCAGCAAAAAACTTGGTGTGCTTAACTTGGGTCTTCCAGGTCATTGCGTGCAGATATCCCAAGACGCTAAAGTGACAATGGAGTAGGAGACTGTTTTTTGCCAAATCACAACAATGCTGGGGTGGAGAATATCATATTCCCGCACACACACGCACACACGCACACACACATAGACACCTCGTAGCCTTGCTTATAGACCTGATTCAGTGCAAGCAGCACGAGATTTAAATACGAAACGTTTGCGGCTATCAGATAAACGAACCGAAGACGCCAAAAAACGCAGCTGGCAGAGAACAAAGGATTGTTGCCTAGGAGAGTAACTTCTAAGCTTAAGAGAGCGTGCTTTTTAAATCCTTCTTCAGGATCGGCTACGCAACCAGGACAAGTGTTTTTACCACTTTTAATTACCCTTCGTAGATCGAGAAAACAATTGCGCATATTTTCAAAATATCAACATTTAAGCCAACTTAATTCATCGAGAGGAGAATACCTTTGGTTAATTTTGAGGCAATAGAGGAGGAATCCGCTGACATTGGGGGCAGTCTCTGCCTTCCAATAACTCCATTCGGAGAGGAGTCCAACAGCCTCCTTTCATCCTCATCTTCAACTTCATCATAGCCATTAACGCGTGGGGCGTCTTTATCGAGTTCGGGGTCCTCGGCGAAGCCTGCTACAGAATGCGTAGTCCCCGATCCATTTCCACTGGAAGGCGTGTCACGCAGAGGTCTCCAGGAGGACTGGGAGTTGAGAGTGGCCGAGGGGGTGAGGGGTTGACGAGCGTAGGCGTGACTCAGAGTGTCGGCATGGTGAAGCGTCACGCCAGAGAGGAAGGATCTGCATGGAAAGGGAAGTGGATAAGAGCGCAGTCTCAGCAAGTGACATGCAAGATGAGGAGGAAGGCGACTTACGGATCGATGTGGTCCACGTGTCCCCAAGCGCGGCCTTCAAAGCCATGGTGACCAACGTGAACAAAGGAATTCTCAATTGGTCGACTAATGTCTTGAGCTGAAATGAGACCCAAAATAAACGATCAGTAGCCTCTCTGGAGGACAAAAATTCAAACTAAATGTAAACACCAAATTTTTAGAGATACAAAGGTCGGATCTATTAAATGAGACATTTAAGTGCGATTAACAGGCGATCAAGAAAACGACTCTTGAATATGCCAAAATAATTGGATTGAGGGAGAATAAATGTGATAACCTGCACTTTTGGTTGTTACTGGAATACAGTGGACACCCAGACAGCCTTAAAAGGGAAATTGTGCTAGTGAAGAAGCGAAGAGAGTTATAAGGTAATCCTTTTTTAAATAAAATATACTCCAATTTAATAATTAGGGAGAAAAAATTTATAATTTTGCACATCATCTCTCGAATTGGCTGAGTTAAAGGGAAGAGGATTAGAATTAAAACTTGCGATTCAAACTCGTCAGAACACACACACAGAGAGAGTATTGAGAGGCGTGGACAAACTCACATTGTAGATTGCGCTGTAAACGAACAATTTCTCGCGGAAAGGAGGCGATTTCACCGGTGCGTCTGTTCTGTCCACGCCACCAAAAGTTGGCTGCTCCACCGTCGATGACTAGAATACGATCTCCCGCCATCACGTCCATCCTATCGGCCTCGTCGAAACTTTGCGTGGCCACAACCTCCGAGGGGCGTATCTGCGAGGGAAAATTTAAGTGGAGTCAAGTAGAAAAGCTGTCGCCTGAGAAACCACCACTTCTTATAACCCCCCTCCCCCCTCCCCCCTCCACCGCCCTCTCCTATGACGACAAATGCGCTATCATATTGTAATCCTCGGCAAAAACAATGAAATCTTCAAATGGGTTGGCAGTATGTTTAATAAATGATAATGTGGAGGAGAATCTAGAAGGCATTGAGAACGGAACCAAGGTATGCAAGAGCAGTACAGCGTTTAGCTTTTTTTTCGCTAGTCCTCCCCCAGCTCCCTCCACTTCCCTGAAGTAGCTTATTTTTCCCACTACAACCGGTGATCAGTCATTACGACCGTCGATCCTGCCTCTTCTCAACTTAATGATCTTAGAAGCTGAATCGATACAAGTACCCCACCCCCCCCCGCTCCACACTGATCTTGGGGACTCAAAACGCCACTGTGAGGTGAGGAAAATTAAGTGTTCTATCCTGCTGAAATCGCAGTAACTGTTACCTATCTCAAAGTGGTACTTGAAGTGCTTGATTCTACGGTAACTCCAAGTGTGTACTATATGCGCGAAAATTGTTTACTTTAATTACCGGACTAGGCCACTCAAGCGGTGCATGAACGAAAGTTTCAGGGGTACAGTCCCTCCCCTCAACACCAATGTTTGGAAGCAGTGCGCCTGCTTATGCTACACACACACACACACCCCCAATTAAAAGTTTGTCGATCATCCACTCGTACGGTTCTGTCACCCCTGCCTTTCGCACGCAACCTCTCTACTCACCCTCCAACACCCAACAACCTCATCCTCCATTAGCCGCTAGAATAGCCTACTCGATAGAACTCAATAAAGGCTTGAATCTGCAATGTCACACATACTACCGATATGAAGGAGCATGTAAATGGCACCATTTTTAGATAAGACAGACTAAAATTTGAACTTTGAACTCTCGCTACATCATTTGAATTGATGTTTCGATGCATGAACAGGCATTTTTGGGGGAGTATTTTAGTCAAAATAGCTTTCAACTATCGGCTTTCAGCTACAATCGGCATACAGCGCTACAAAGACCCTGTTGGTGAAATCGAGGTCACCGAATTGTAGGAACTATGGAAGCAGAACCAAATCGTAGAAGATAACGATAGCAATCAGCAGGTTCAAGAAGTAGAGCACAAAGATTCGAGTTGAACAAAGTGTAGTCAACAAACCGCGATGAGGTTTGGTGACTAAGAGAGAGAGGTGGGGGGTGGGGGGGGGGGGGGGGGGGGGGGGGGGAAGAGAGAGATGCGAGCAGGTAACTGGACAAACACGTCCGTTAAGCGAATGGAGATACCAAGACAGACTATGTGGGTCAATTGGAAAAAGAGATGCGTGAGGATATGAGCGCGGAGTACGTCGAATGAAACGAGTCAGTTGCAGAAGAAGAAGAGGCGGAGGAGGAGGAGGAGGAGAGAATCAATAGCATCGTCAAGGCAAGATAGGTGGCAGGTAGGTAGGTGTTGAAGTCAAATTGGCAAAAAAAGACGAAAAAATCCACCCGTTTTCATAAAGAATGTGGCCAAAAAAACGTATTTTTTTTCAAGAAAGCATTGTGCGTCAGTAGCCAAAGTTTATTTGCATTTCATAAATCAACTCTATTCATCTACCGCAACCCCCCCCCCCCCCCCCCCCCCCACCCACAGGTATGGCATCGCAAATCACACTAATGAGGAGACACACGCATCAGCCCAGGAAGAGCGAACACTGAGTTTACATTCCGCCCCGCGCCTTTATACGACCAGAGAGCAATAGTTCGAAACCCAGTGGTTTTGGACAGCCAAATAACTCTCATTCATTATCGATTTTCTGAAACCGCGATCATTAGAACTCAATTTGGGGTTGGAGCATATTCGAATAAAATTTTAAAAAACACAATAATGCGAAGGGTCCTTTGTGTTTGGAGTGGGATAGAGAATATGCAGAATTTGAAAACAACGATGAGAAAAAGAAGATGAAGTGCACTTCCCTTTTTTGTTGGCCTAGAAGAGTGGGAATCAACTTCCAAGCACCCAAAACGAGCACAAATGGCTAAATGTTTTGCGCACGAACTGGAAACCACGGTTTCAACACACACACACACACACACACACAGAGGAGCCTATCAAATAGCCCCCTTCACTAAGCATCGGGATCATGATTCAAGAGGTTATGCAAGCCAACGACGCCTTAATCTCCCACAGTCAGTTAACATTGGCGTCAAAATGCGAAGCATTAGACGACGCTGGACCTCCTTCCACTCGACCTTCAAGATGAGAAGAGAGAGAGACGGGGGAAGTGATAAGGAGCACAACTCTCAGTTGAAGTGCTCGCTTGAAGAGATTTTACTGACAAATATTAGTGAAAAAAAATGTCGAGACGATTGGGAATCCCCTTCTCAAGACCAAATGGAGGGAAACTGACTAACATCGACACACGCACACACACACAGCTCTAGTAAAACTTATGGAAATCTGCAGGGAAAATATTGGGTTGGCAACTAAGTCATTGCCGTTTTTGTTGACAGATTCACTCTATACTTTCTTTTGTTTTGCTAACGTGGCCAGAGCATCTAACCTATATTTTTTTCTTACTGTATGGGCTTCTAGGTTAATTAGTAACAAATTTTTTTTGTTTAGTTCTTTAGTTTTGTTTTTATCCCAATTTAAAAATGAAAGAACAGGACGTGCACTTCCGACACATTTTATTGTATTACTTCCGAAAAGGCAAGAACGCATCGCAAGCACAAAAGAAAGGCAGTGTCGAAATTGGTTTGAAGGATTTCGTTCCAGTGATTTTTCACTGAAAAATTCACAACGATCTGGACGCCCAGTCGAAGTGGATGAAACCCATATCAAGGCCAGTATCGATTCAAATCGTCACAGCACAACACGAGATATTGCAGAGAAGCTGCTCAATGTGTCGCATACATGCATTGAAAAAAATTAAAAACCCTTGGTTATGTCAAGAAACTTGATTTATGGATCCCTCACCAGTTAAAGGGAATTCATTTGACGCAACGGATTAGCATCTGTGATTCGCCGCTACTGAAACGCAATGAGAATGATCTATTTCTGAAGAACCTAGTTACTGGCGACGAAAAGTGGATAGTTTATAAGAATGTTACTCGCAAGAGATCATGGGTGAAGCAAGATGAACCAGCCCAAACAGTATGAAAAGCAGAGATTCACCAAAAAAAGATTATGCTGTCAGTCTGGTGGGATCACAAAGGAATTTTGTATTTTGAACTCATGCCGCAGAACCAAACGATAAATTCAAATGTGTATGTTGAAGAACTCGAAAAACTGAAAGAAGGATGCAATTGAAGATAAGCGGCCGGCATTATCAAATCGGCGGAAGGGTGTTGTTTTCCATCATGATAACGCAAGGCCCCCCCCCACACATCTTTGGTTACTCGGGGAAAATTATTGGAACTGGGTTGGGATGTTTTGTCACACCCACCATATAGCCCTGACCTTGCGCCTTCGGATTACCATTTGTTTCGTTGCATGCAAAACTCTTTAAATGGTGAAATTTTTAACAACGCGGATGATGTCGGATCACACCTAATTCAGTTTTTTAATAGCAAAGACCAGACATTTTACGAACGGGGAATTTTTACTCTGCCAGAAAGATGGAAAAAGGTCATCGACAAGAACGGCCAATATCTAATTGAATAAAGTTACATTTTTAAACAAAAATTCCGAATTTGCCTTCTTATTTGAAATCGGCAATGACTTAATTGCCAACCTAATAGCATGATAGGGGGTGGAGTGAGGGTGGGGTGGGGTGGGGGGGGGGGGGGGGGGGGGGGGGGGGGGGGGGGCGTGAGGAAAGAACACAAACGACGTAAATCATTGTGATTAATTAATCAATAGTAATAATGATATTAGTAATTAGCCCTAGTTCTTCTAATTAAATGGAGGCGAGATTTGGACGAGTGAAAATCTTGGAAAGAGGCGCAGCTGAGGGTACAAACACCCCCGCATGACAGCATTTAGCAGAAGGAGGAAAAACTACTGGACAAAAGTGAAGGTTTTTTGACGCGCAAGTGCAATTGCAACGTACACCAATTGGAGTACCATCAACCGAACTGGGGCAGAATTTTCTGTCAATGCATCATTTGTTCTGCAAAATCGACCCAGAGATTTTTCAAAGGAAAATAGGAAGTGCAAAGAAGAATAAGGGATCATTAAACAACCTCCGCATTACGTCACACCTCTTTATGAACCGAAATCAAGAGCAGATTTGAAAGGTATTCAGGTCGGATGAACAGGTGTCTCTCTCTCTTTCTGATTTGTCACGTGATCATTCCACCACCAACGCGTGTCAACCGTACGCAGAGAGAATAAAGTTATTGCACCCTTAAATTCACTTCGATGAGCGCGTAGTACGTGGTAGAACACATCATCACAAACATCGTCGACGTCCAAAAGTCGGCAACAGCGAAGAAAAATCAGCAACGAGTACCAGGAAGGAATGAATTATTCCGAAGAAAACTCATGCAAAGAAGATCCGGACATCTCTTTCCTGCGAGAGAGTTGGCCAAAATTTGTTAGGTGAGGATGCGCTGCTGGTGACACGGTAGTTGGTGCACTCGCTTGGAAAGTCGGTGGCCACAGTAAAAGGGTAGTGATGTGGGGGGGGGGGGGGGGGGGGGGGGGNGGGGGGGGGTGAGGAGGGGGTAGGAGGAGGGGGAGGGGACAGAACTCGAGTTCACGTCCTCTAACGGGCTTGGGAGGTTTGATGTCACGCCAAATAGAGCTAAACTTTGACAACAAAACTACAGGCAGATGGAAGCACTGCACGCCAACAACCAATCACTAAAATCCTCGAAAAGTAGAGAAAAAAGTTTGACACATGACTTCATTAGGTGAAAAAAACTGCTCATAAGTTAATGTATAAAATAATAATGATAATAATAATAAAAGCGTGCGATTTTAGGAGGCGTGATGGTAAAAATCGAGCCCAACATTAATAAAATTCGAATTTACTCACGTTCACAATCAAATTGACAATATTCAAATATAGCATTCACCGAAGGGAACACAAAAAAATGTCAGTCTAGAAAAAGAAGACTCTCTTGGCTTGAGAAATTGAAGGAACCCAAAATTGAAGGCGTTCACATACATCTTGAATCATGGTCACCATGTCCCCCCTCCCCCTCCCCTCTCCCTACAACAAATGGAGATGGAAGAGAAAGGAAATGTCACCAGGTGGTGATTGACACTTTACTGGATTACTTTGAAAGCCAAGTGGCCAATGGCACTTGAAGGCTGGTAAACGTGTCAATTCGATAAAATTGTGACGGTGCGAGGCACAACCATTGGACCAAACAGTGTGAGCAGAGCAAAGAGGGAAAGAGAGAGAGAGCTAACAGGTTAACACGTTCAAGAAAAAGCCAAGTTTATTGGGCTACTCAAACGCGAATAAATTCCGATATTGTATTTGGAATAGCATATAAGAGACCAAGGAAAGTGCACTTTTAAGTTTTTTGGTATAGAAGCGCCACCATATAAAGCACAACATGGAGCCTGTTTGAGCGCCTCAAACTAAGCAAAGATCACATTCAACGCACCTTATCCATTCGATCCACCAGGTACTCGAAGGAGGGTCGTTGAGCGGGCTCGAATCGCCAAGTGGCCAGGAGGAGTTGGTAGAGCCTCCGTGGACAGGCTGTTCGAGGCCAGGCCAGACGGCGTCCCGATTTGAGTTCAGAGAGGATAGCGTCGGAGCCTAAAGTGGGCCATGGCTCGGCGCCACCACTCCACATCTCCCACACAGTCACTCCCCAACTCCACACGTCTGAGGCCTGGGAGAAAAGGCGAGCTTTGATCGCCTCCGGCGGGGACCTTCAACACAAGGAAAGACTAATTGGCTTCTTTTAAGTGCCTACAAAGGCCGAAAGACGGCTAAATTCTTCTATGGCAAAAAAGGCCTTAAGATATATATACATATAAGGGTGGGGGGAGAGCCTTGGAGAGCCTTGGAGATGGGTGAGGCGAACTGTCGACGGCCACATGTCTAGGAGATATGGGAAAGCGAGTCGACAGCAAAGCTGAATACACTAAACAACGTCAATTAAGAGCTGGAAGAGGAAAAAAAATGGAACGCGAAGGAGGGTATGACGAAACCGCGTTGTCGTGAAAGAGGCAAAAGGAACGTCGTCAATCGATATTCCACACAACTGCGTCGACCGAAAACAGTTCAAGCAAACATGTAAACGTAAACATGGATTGCCTGGAGGAAGGTGCCGTGTTAATAACAACGGATTCAGTATAAATTGGGCAAAAACGTTCGCCCAAACACTCCCCCCCCCCTTTTAATACTCTGTGGGGTTCTGGTACCGAAACAAAAATAAACGGTCATCAAATTTGTCCTATAAAGTACCTGGAAAGTAATCTTCGAGATGAAAACGTAGCAAATTTACGGTTGTCAGATCTTTTAGTTGCCCAGAAATCGAGATTTGCCTTTCCCAAAACCTCCAATAGAGGAAATGAGCTGTTTGATTAAACCCCTTAAAGCACAACCAATCTTTTACCGCGTATCCATTGAATTTAGTTGGAAAAAAAATAATAAAATAGAAGTCATTTGATGAACACAATCAGATACTGCCATTTTTTCGCGCTAATCAGGTGACGAGACGAGAAGGCGGTGTTGTCAGTAGCAGAAACATACAACCCCATTGAAAGAGAATAGGCGTGGATGGTTGAACAAAAATTGTAGATATTGCAAAGGGGAGAAATGTTCGCCGCGAAGTGCCATTTAAGAGGAGTCGAGGAGGAGGAGGAGGGGGGGGGGGGGGGGGGGGGGGGGGGGGGTGGGGTGGGGGAGAATTCTCACTTTTTTCTTGCAATATAATTGGCTCACGCAAAATTAAATCAAACCAGACTCAGAATAGAAAATCTATTTATAATGAAGCCAAGACAAGATGCTGGCACAAAATAAATTTGGTAATAAAAAATAATATTCCCCCCACCTCTAGTCGTGTTTCGCGATGCAGGCTTACAAAGCCCACCTCACCCACACGCGCTGCTGATCTTAAAATAATATATAACTTTATTCCCTAAGTGCTGGTGACACCATTTCTGACGCTACGTTAGTCCAATTACAAAATGGGGTCACCATTTCTGATCAGCCCACAGGTAACGTGAAGAAACATTATTCGCGCTTAGAAGAGTAATTTAAATTATGATATTGGCGTGTAAAAAATCGCCTAACATCACAGCATCAACAGTTAATAAAACGAGTCATCTGATGTGAAAAGATAAATTTTGTAATTTAATTAATTAATTAACAATTTTTGCGGAAATTTTAGGACCGTGCTGTCGGATGTTGAGCTCATATGAAAAGTCGTTTTTTTAAAAAAATTTGCGTCCACTAATAAATCTGCGTTGCAATCGAGTGGATGGTCCAATTTTCCACCCTGTCCACCTCCTTGCTTGCATTGAACACACCGAAAAAGATGATGACCCCAAAAGAAGGGTAAATGACCCCCCCCCCTCCCACTCGCCCCAAATGAGCACCTTATAACAATAAAACGGCGAAAGCGATCGAGAAAAAGGGGCGTTGAAATAGGCAACAAAAAAGAAGTAGACATATTAGTACTTAATAAAGCAATTGCATTTCAGTTAAAGTAAATTAAAGCCCAGCATTAAAATAGAGGTGCGATTCACAACAGATGTTTGGGACAAAAACAGGCGTGAAGTGTGATAAATTCGCTTTGGTGATTGGGATGGAGTGGAGTAGATAAGGCCATGGTATATGGATCTACCGCTTCACTCCCAACGACCACACCTTGAAAAACACAGTTGTTATGATCAAAATTTTAACTAGGGAATTAGATCAAGTCTCCATAGGCAAATGATTTTTAATTAAGAGAATAAAGCCGATCGATTTGTGTGAATGGACTGAGTTAAATATAAACTTACAAAACGCCCATAGCTACAATTGAGGCTTTTTTCTAGGAAATTCATCGAACTGAACTAGTTAATTAGGCAATTAAGTTGAATAAATAAAAAAGAGTTTTGCTGATACAAAAACAGTCTCTTCGGAGGCCAATTACGAATGGATTTTGAGCCCAATTGTTTAAATCGTTGGATTTACGCAAAACTCCATTTTGACGTCTCCGTAGTTCCCCCTTGATGCGTTTGAACTCCAATCACCTAATTTCACTTCATATTTTGCAAGCAGGGGCGTACGATAGACTTACCTCCATCCTGGGCAACGTTTACTCATACGGCAAAAAAGTCTATTGACTGGCAGTTGACTTCTGACTTCAAACTACCATCACCCCACTGTATGTGGTCATATTTGACTACTTCCACGGTACTCACCTCACCTTTTCACTCTGCCTTTGTGTCTGTCTGTCTCCTTTGCATCCTTGAATCACTTTTCTGTTTCCCCCTCTTGAATTATTCTCACTTTTTATGTTCCTCCTCCCCTGCTGTGAAGCCCGAAGTCAGCTAAATGGGCTAATGATAACCATCATAAAGTCTGCCATTTGAAATAAATAAATGAATAAAAATTTTGCAAGCAAGCGAGTTGCAAGCCCTTTAATTCGCATCGAATTAATAAAAAAAAGGACGACAAATATGACGAGAGGAGGGAGAAAAAATGGAGTGGCACTCGCGCAAAGGGCAATTAAGGAAAGAGAAAAAAGAGAGAGGTGTGCTAGTGCGATGGACAGCTGAAGGTCCGAACCGCCGCTGAGTTCCTTGAATTAAAGTGGCGAGCGCGGAGGAAGAGAAGATAAAAGGCAATTGACAGAAGATGCTCAAGAGACAGCAAAGCAGGAAAGTCCCCCCCCCCCCACCTCTACTACCACCTTATTAAGAAAGTACCGACACTTCATGCCTTTGACGATAATAACATTAATTGAGCATACTTCATTCCCACGCACTGGAGTGGAATAGCCGGTGAATTGAGACAGTTTGGACCTTTAAGTTGCGTCCAAAGCCAAATGGCCAAGATGGCGAAGGAAGTCCCCCCCCCCCCCGCCTCACTTTGGCCGGCCAGGCGAGGGGTTAGCAGCTTTAACAGCTGTCAAAGGCGCATCAGAGGTGAGGCTTGTTTGTAAACAATGGAAGTGCAAAGCTGCCAACTCCATGCCAATGATCGTTGACAATGCGATAAAATGCTTAACAAAGTCAGACGCACCCGGCACATCAGAAATATTATGGGAGTTAATGCAAGCCGCTTCCAAAGAATCTTTTAACAAACCATCAACATATATTTCGTGAGTGCTGGAAAGAGAAGAAGAGAGGAGGGGGGTAGAAATTCCAAATCCCATGGAAGCGCAAAGCTCCCAACTACATGGCATAGCGGAGGACAACTCTTCACTTTTCAAGGTGACTTAATCAATGTACACCGATAACGCGACTCGTTGTCTTCTTCTTCTTTTTGAAACTGTTGATTTTTTCTGTTAACTACAAACTGTATAAACTACATTTGGCACCTCCTGAATTGGTGACCTCGGTTCTCTCTGCTTGAAGTCCACAAACTAGTGACTATGTAAGCAGTCGCCCACCTGGACAACAGTAGCTGCAATACTATCTACTAATAAACAGTGCCAAATGCACACCTTTAGGGGGTTAAGTAATTGGCTCATTGCGCAAATTATTGAATTATGCCACCTCAGTATGATCGTCGCTTTGTCTAACACGCTTAGGTGTGTGTGTGGGGTGTGTGTGTGTGTGGGGTGTGTGTGCGTGAGTGACCGTAGCAATGCAAGAGTCGAGAACAATGGCAAAAAATGAGCGTGAGACCAGCGACTAGCGTCAAATGAAATTAGCTTTCGATTAGGCCTCTTCTCACAGGAGGAGGATATAGTAATTAAAAACGAGAAACGGAGGATGAGTGGAAGCAGCCTGAGGGTCTGTTAAGTCGAGAGTCATGAGATTGAGACAATCACAGCTGAGCATTCAGTGACTTGAAGGAACTAATGGATTAGTTAAATCGAGCAAAAAATAAGACCAGTGGAACGTGAATGACTTCGCTCTTCCTAAATCAAGTGGTTATAATGAGACATTTCGAAAAGTGCGCAAAATGCACGAGAACATTCCAAAGTGAACACATCTTTGCCCGACCACTCCATTTTACTTCTGTCAGTTCCAACTGCTCAGTTGGGAAAAATAGGACACACACACACACATACACGCACCGATGGAAGAAATCGAATCTCGTACTTCAATGGGCTCTCCTCGCGTGGGTCAACACCCAAGGTGCGAATTCCCCAGTCAGAGCTTTCCTTGGCGGATTTAAGAGGATTAGACAGGTGCATCGACAGCAAGAAGACAGGACTCCTTCAATTGTGGGAATATTTTTGAAAGGTCATCAAATATCAATAGTAGTAAAAGCCAGAAATAGCGCCAGTGTACCCACGGTTTCTGTCCAAGAAAGAAAGCTTAAAAAACATGGAATTAGAGATTAGAGGATGTGAGTAAAACAGCAAAGCATTGGATGTGTACCGACGATTTCACGAACTCTGGTGTTGAGCATTACCCCCATCGAAACATTTATTTATTTCAAATGGCAGGCGTTTTGTTAGTTATCATTAGCCCTTTAGCTGACTTCGGGCTTCACAGAGGGAAGGTTCATCAAAGTGAGAAACATTCGAGATAGGGATCAGAAAAGTGATTCAAGGAAGCAAAAGAGAAGGACAGACACAAAGGCAGAGAAAAGGTAAGATGAGTACTGTGAAAGAAGTCAAATATGACATACAGTGGAGTTATGGTAGCTTGAAATCAGAAGTCAACTGCCAGTTAAAAGACTCTTTTGCCGTATGAGTATACGTTGCCCAGGGTGCTCCACGTGGAGGTAAGTCTATCGCACACCCCTTATTCCAAGTCTTACTTCCTCGTTAATGGAGACTGTGCCTTGAATATAACTAATGCACACATCAGGAGGAGAGAATGGCAGTAACGTGAACAGGATTTCACCCAAATATATAAGAATGTGAAGGTATGAAGCAATCTTAAATAATAGAATTGACTGGGAGAAGGGTGCGATTTTAGGCCTATCACAAGCGTTCAGTGGAGTGGAATCAAAAGGGAGATAAAGAGGAGAGAGAGAGAGGGGGGGTCGGATTACTGTTTCCATGACTTATGAGTAGGCAAGACTCGGTAGTGTATAAATGAGCAATGATACTACTTACCAAGCGAAAGGAATTTTCTGTTTCCCCACTCCAGTGTAAACATATCCAGGGATCTTTTGATCATCCCTTCCCTCGGCAGTACTACTCGATCCAATTGCCTCCTCACTCGAGTTCACCATTCCCCTTCGAAGTAAACCAAAATCCCCTATTTTCACCACAAATCCACCAACACGAGGCTGACAATCATCACCTTTGGCAGACGATGAACCACCCCCAAAGAGGAGGACATTTCGAGCGGCCAAATCGCGATGAATGAGGCAACAGGAGGCGAGGTGGGCCATTCCACGCGCAAGTTGGATGCTCATATCCCAGAGAATGTCTACACTGAAAGCTGTCGCTGGAGGACGACTACTTCCATTATCGCCACCTTCGAGGATAGACGAGGTTGAGAGTCGATGGGAATGGATTCGCAGGGCCGTCAGAAGGCTTCCGAGAGGGGCCAACTCAGTTACCTAAAGAAAGCAAACGAAGTAATGTGTCATTTTATACATACGTAACAGTAAAACAGCAAGCTTATGATTAGACAATAATTACGACGTCGTTGTCCAAAGCTTCCGCATTTAATTTCCTTGCAAGACTTTCCCTCATCGCATGAATATGTATAATACGTTTCAGGCTGGTGATGATAGATTGAAGTCAACTGCCGATTTATAGACTTTATTGCCGCATGAGTATACGCTGTCCAGGGTGAACCACGTGGAGGTAAGTCTACCGCATAAAACTTCAAGAAGCAAAGAACTTAAAGCCCGAGCAAAGGGAAAGCAGTGGACAGTGGCACTCTCCAACATAGCCGAGTGGACAAGAACCGAAGCTGTTGCAGAGTTTAGACTGCGTACTGGACACGATTGACCGGCGAAGCACCAACATAGAATAGGAGTATACTCTCAACCAATATGCCCTCTATGTGACCTGCAGGAAGAAATGGATTGGACCCACTACAGCCAGCCCTACAGACAACGGCCGAAACCCAGAGATACTGGGAAGCTAGAAGTCAACCAATGGGCTTATGTAAACTACCCAAACTCCCCTCTGTGAAGCCCGAAGTAAACTTAGAGGCTAATGATGAATATCATAAAGCCCGCCATTTGATATAATAATAAAGTATAATATGCATATTGTGACTCTAATGTCTGTTTGAGCTAACTGTCACAAAGATAATTAAACCAGTCAAATATCCCCCCAGCTTCACAACCATGTCCATCTATTTCATCTCTCAGTCCCCCAAAGTTGTCCAATACCCCCTCCCCNCCCCCCCCCCCCCCCCCCCCCCCCCAAAGTACCTATTCTTCTAGCATTCAATTAGAATAGTCCTAGTCAGTACAATGAGATGGCTATCTCGAATTTGACAGTCGGAGCAAATCTTAAGGGAATTTCCAGTCAACGCAAGTAATTATCTCGAGTTTATATAATTAAGAGCAGTTCGCTCAACGAACCAATGATTAGTGTAAAAGAATAACAAGGTGATTTGCTGGCAAGGAGAAAAGTGTACCTGAAAATTCAAATACTCAGCTCGTACATCTGGTAAATTGCACACAGGATCAAACGTAGGCTAGTTTTTTAAGTAACCCCAAAAAGATTCAACAGGTTCTGTCTTATGTGAAAGAGTGAGTAGGCTACAACACCACCACAAAATATGCCAATGGCATGTGATTCAATGCTATAGTAGTCAGTGTGAGGTCAGTGCGCAATTTCTGACGATGAATGTTTTAAGGTCCTTCCCTCCTTCCACCCTCCTCCTCCACCTAATCTTAGCGAAAACTGTCTTTCATGAGACATAAAAATGTTGTTTTAGCCAACTGGGAAACATAAGTGACGAAGAAGTTGTTTTAGCCAGCCCCAAGAGGTCAAACTGATTTGAAGCAAAAAAGTAACAAAGGCATCAACATATTCTAAATTTTTATTATGATCGTATGCTAAAAACGGACGATAGATGTCGTAGAGGAAAATTAAACTCTCGAAAATCACGAAACTCACGATAACAAGAGGGTTGAAAGGAATAATCCCATAAATTCGCACGAGATTGGGATGAGACACAGATTGCATTAGCATCACCTCCGAAAGAACAGTTGAAAAGAAATCTGCAGCATCTTCGGTCTTGCTGCGCCGAAGAATTTTCAAGGCAACAGGTAACTATAAATTATAAACAAAGAACATTGAATGTGTAGTCAGAAAGTATTTAATAGATACAAGTGTAGCATACCACTTGACCAGTGGGTGTCTTCCAATCACCTCTGCGGACAACTCCGAAGGAACCAGAGCCCAGTCTTCCATGATTTACTTCATGGAGGGTCACGTCCTCTTGTCGGATGAGTTGGCAAGGAAGATGAGAATCTGAAGTGGATGGTAGAGGGGGAGAAGTGGCATCTGAATGACATCGACGAATGTATCCGGAATCAGACCCAGGAGTTAAAATTGGAACATCGCGAGGGGGTCCATATCGTATCTAAAGGGAAGAAAACCATTAAAATAAATAGAACAAAAATTACACTATATTAACTGAAGCAGATTACATACCAAATCAATTAGAGGAATTCCAAAAGAAAGGCCGTGTAATTTCTTCCGTGGATTGTGGGGTATTCCAGCGTTTTCACGATGTATTTTTAATGCAGCTTTGATCCTAGCAATTGCGGGCGCACTTAGACCGATCCTGTGAAGATCTGCAGTACGTACATAGCTGAAATGCTGCAATCTATTCAAGAGTAAAACAACCAATAACTTCCGAAAATTCGTATTTGAACAAAAATATAAAAATTAAAGTTTGACGGACGAAAATTTAAACAAAATATTAAAAATAACATATAAGCTGTTTTAATTTTATACCTTAAAAATACATAAATTAACTACTAACTGTGTAACTTGTAAGACGTCCTTAAATGCATCAAAGAAATCTGGTAATTGTACTTCATCAAGGAATTTTCGGAGCCAATTGGACGACGACATAGTCAGATAAGTCCATTGAAAAACACTTAAGGATTGTGGGTTTATTTTGGTTGATTTAAACAAATATCATTTGTTAAGGTCAGTTGAAGGGTATTAGTAGTTGAATGTAAAAACATAAATCTCTACGTGGAGGTTATATTTTCTTATGTTTAATTATTTATTTCTTTGGGAATTCCACTAATAATGGCAGAGATCATTGCATTAACAATACTGATGCTAAAATTTTTGAGAATGCCATGAAACCTTTTCCTTTTTATTATACTAAAGTAAATAACAAAATACCACCTTGCATCTGTATAATATTAGGTTAAATAACTATCTTTCTTGTGATGCCTAGTTGCAAAAGATACAAAATAATAACTTCTACAATTCGTTATCTTTCAAATTAAACTCTTGATTATGCCTTCATAATGCCTACTCCTATCTCCTTAGTGCAAACTCACAATAGCAAATTTAATTGATGTCCATTCTGTGTATAGACAAGTGCTTCAGTTTACCTTGTAATATTCCGAGCCAACAGTTAAAACACCGGAGAAAAGGATGAATTAATCTTTTCGTTCTAACTTGAGCCTATTCACTATCCACTGTATTAAAGATTTCTACTTCTCATTCTGCATAACCATTCTGTTCACTATTGGGTCGGTATTGTTTTTAAAGCAGCTTTTTTTGTTATTTTCAACAGTTTCCAATCGAGGAAGCTTCTAAATAACCATATTGCTTTGAAGTAAAAACAAATAGTTGATAGCTATCAAATGCAACCCTCACTTCAAAGGGCATGAAATAATGAATTGTGTTTTCTAAAGTGTGTTGAAGGCGAAAGACAGAAAAAAACAAGATAATAAGAAGGAGATGGGAAGAAAGAGTGCAAGCGGACAACTGGTGAAAGGTTGTCTGAGTAGGTGTGAGTGAGAGAAAATATAATAGCAGTTTAGATAAGACACTTGAACAAATACAGTCGTGAAGTTTGAGTGCTGATGTACTTTTTATCTAAAGGGGTAGATAATGAAAAGCGGAATCTCCGAGATCGATAGGTTTAAACCATTGGTGCATAAAATCAAAATGCAGATTTGTGGAAAAAAAATGTAATCACTTTTTCATTAAGAATGTGAACGAAGAGTAATTTGGGCTAATGCTTTCTCGTTATATCAATAGAGAATGATAACTTCCAGCTCCAATCTAAAAATTTAAAAAAAAAATTAATTTTTCATGGGGCACTACAAATTTTCATCGTTAAAATCGTGCGCCACAAGACGCCTCGGTCGAAAAATGAAAATGTAATTTCACCACTTATTGAATGTTCAGCAAATCTTTGATTGGCATAGGTTTAAACAAATAATTTTGAATTATCAATGCGTTAAAATAAATATTTTCAAAATTATTAGCTTACTTGATCAGTTCTATTTACAATATTTCTAGAACCACGTCGTTGGCGTGCTAATTTATTAGGAAAAATGCCGTCTTGAGCAATATACTTATCAGACCAAATCTGGAGTTGTATATTTTGCTCAAATATAAATAGAGGAGGGAAAATCATGATCTTTATTGTTTCGTTTTACAATCGAAAGGAAATTCTGAAAAGTATAATATCTCAGATGTCAATGTAGTTACACAAACTGCTTTGTAACCTAAATTAAAATTTAATTTAAATCTCACTCTAAAATGATAGTATTATGAGCAATTGCTTCTTTATGAGGCACACTTTAATTATATTATTTCGTGTGCATTTCTCATTATTGTGCTATAATCGGTTACGTAATCATAAAAGGTAAAAAGTTATTAGAGTCAGGTAAAATTTGATAATAAATGACAGTGTAAAATTCCTTAACTTTTAATAGTTGATAAGTGTAAATATCATAAGAGCTTACAATTCATCTGAAGTTATTATTTTTTATTAGACACTCACGTTTATTACTATTTTATGGCGTAATAAAATTAATAGATACGCATATAATGAAGTTGAATTCTCCTTTAAAAATTTCATCAGAATGAACTTAATCAACAAAGACTATTAGGCGACATTTTTAGAATGTAAATTGCAAATTCATTTATGGGTTCAAAATGAAATATGCTGAAACGTGTGACCGTGGTGTTGATCGCGTTAGAGAACAAATGAGTTTATGAGTGCAGAAGCCTCTCGACAAATTAATAGGCAATTTTTGTCACAAGATCAACGTACCCCAACAGAAAATAATGAGTAGGCGTGATATCAACACAACACACACACACACACACACACACACACACAAACACACAGCTCAAATTACCTTATTCCACTCAATACGCTTGTTTCCGCTACATCGATGAGTTAATTCAGGAGCCATTTCAAGCTAGAGGATCTTGCCATGGAGATTTCTGTGGATAAGGTCAGGCCAATTTGTGTAATAATCCACTACATATCATTGCTTTTACAACGTGCTCTAACTTGTTCAGTAATATAGAAACTTTTCAATGTCATTCATACAATCAATCTCAATGTAAAGTTTTTAATTCACATTTTTTAATCAATTTCTCTTAAAAATTGAATATCATAATCAATTTAATGATGTTCGGTAACAGCTGTTTGCTCAAGGATGTATCCTCAAATTAAGTCTTCCTACTGCCTAATACTTCTTTGTTGAAAGTGATTTATACGTTTTTTTTGCAAAATTGAACGTAACTCTTAAATGGATGTCTAGTTGAGCAAACAATGGCCGTCGTAAAACCCATTTAAATTCGGACTTTCACCGAACCCCTGACCTGAAGGTTACGGAACTATAATGAAATTATAATGGGATTTGATAAACTTTTAATTAGTGTAATTTCTATTAGAGCAAATGGGATATCAAAACAAAGGAAGATTTTGTTATTTATCTTCTCTTTTATGGGGTGTGCGATAGACTTACCTCCACGCGGTGCACCCTGGGCAACGTATACTCATACGGCAAAAGAGTCTATTAACCGGCATTTGACTTCTGACTTCATAATACCATGGCCCAACTGCTTGTCATAGTCGACCCCTTCACAGTACTCATCTTACCTTTTTCCCTACCTTTATGTCTGTCTGCCTCTTTTACATCTGTGAATCGCTCTTCTGTTCCCCGCCCCTCGTCTTTCTGCTACTTAGATGAACCTTCCCTCTGTGAAGCCCGAAGCCAGCTAAAGGGCAAACGATAACTATCATCATGGTAGGAAA